GTTGTTTGTACATATAACGCATGCTGATGTTCAAAATCTACATCTAAAAGTTTTGACCCGGACAAAATTCACAATCAAAATATTCGAAACACGAGAATTTAAAGGTGTGTTTTTTTTTTTTATATAAATTTAAAAAAATTTGATTTAGATTCGATATAAAAATAATATTTGATAAGATATTTTATAAAAAATAGTATATATATATTTTTTTCGAAAAAGACATACTTCAAATAGAAAAATTTAAAAAAATTATAGTAAAAAAACATTCCCTAAGCAACTCAGAAATGTGACTACGTGACCATAAATGTGTGGCTATTATTCATTTTCTTAAATCATTACCAGCCTTGACTTTCATTGCATCTCAAATCCCAAAATAGTCGAAATTAAGGATGTGCCTGTTTGTGTTTACTATTTTACCATACTTTGTACTAATTTTAAAAAGTAAAATTATTTTTTAAATAAAATGAATATAAAGGTTAAGTTTAAATACAAATGTTTGAAAATTTGAAATATTTTAAAATACTAAAAAAAGGAATATTTAATATTATATTTTATAAAAGAATATTGAATTTAATATTTAAATAATATTATTACTATTAATACTGATAATAATATTATGCAAAAATAAGATTAGAAATACAAAGAAGCATGCTGCATATATATTAATTAACATAAATAATACTATTGGATGCAATATTTCGTAAAAAAATAAAATAATAATATATTATTTATTTAATACTTTAATTTAAATAATTTTTAATGTAAAAAATCATATCAATAATATAAAAAATAATCTTTTATGTTAATTATTAAAAGATAATATAATATACTAAATATTATATATATTAAAAATCATGTTTAAAAAAAATAGTTAGATGAACTAAACCTATATATATTAAAAGTGATATTTTAGAGAAATAAAAAATAAAAAAATAAAAAAATAAAAAGAAAGATTAACATGTAGCAATAATAAAAATAATAATACAAAAATCCAATTTAATAAACTCAAGCAAATATATTCATAATTCTAAAAAACTGCAAGAGATCATATAAGGGTTTATTAGTTAACGAAAGTGTATAAGAGATTTTATATTTTTGTCTGTATAAAGTAATTGTACATATAATAGTATATTTATAATGTAAGTAAAAGTTAATGATATTTTAGTATTCGTATTCGAATTATTTTTTTCAAAATAAAAAAAAACTTTGAAATTGGACATATGAAAATGGTAAAATTGGTACCTTCAATTTGGACGGAAGAAGTATAAAAATATAAAAAAATATATGTAAAATATTAAATTAAATATATATTTATATTTATATTATATTAAACTTTATTTTCATTTAACACGTTTTTATTCAGACATAAATTAATGTGATAAAATATGCACCGATTCACTGAATCTCCGACAATGTTAGCAATGGCTCCTGTTATATCCCACCATTGAATTTAACCTTCGTCTAGTGTTAAACGAAACGAGCCGTTCTTGAACTCGGTTCGGTTCGGCTAAAGCTTGTTCCCGAACGTTAATGAGTCGAGCCGAATCACATAAACAGGCTCGTTTGGTTAACAAACGAGCCCGAGCTTTGTTCGCGAACGTTCGTTTAAATAATATTTTTATTATAAATATTATATATACATATAAAATTATAATTTATAAATAAATAAAATATTAATTTAAAATATATAAATAAAATAAATAATTTTAAACTTTCTTTATAATTTATATATAAATTTTTAAAAAATAAGACAAACGAGCTCGAACGAACCTAAACGAAGCGAATACGAACACAAGTTCAAATAACAAAAATTTTTAACGAGCCGAACTCGAACACTACGAACGAGCTCGAAAGCTTAACGAACAAACACGAGTCTTGTTCGTAAACGTTAACAAATACTTAAAATTTGGCTCGACTCGGATCGTTAACAACTCTACATTCGACCCAATTTCATGTGGCAATTGCCACTGCATTTTTATCACATATTCTCTGTTAAAAAAATAAATAAATAAAAGTAAAAATAAATGAAAATAAACACTCGGAAAAGAAACAACAATTGTTCTTCCCTTTCACATTATGTGGTATGAATTCACTTTAGAAATTTTATGGTATATTTGTTTTGTTAAATAATTTGAACGTGGAATATAAAAAATTATGTTAAAAAAATAAAAATAATGAATATGTACAATAATATTAATATTTTTTATAAAATGTGTGTATTTATTGTTAAAAGAACATACTCATATATTCTTTCACAATAGATTTGTATTTAGAAGATCTGCCCATAATCTACTCTCTTCATCCCACTTGTTATGCCATAAATACGATAATTTAAGATAATTAATTAATTTAATTAAAATAAAAAAAAATGATTGATTATAAATTTAAAATATGATTAAATTATTTTTCTAAAAAACAAAACAAATAAAATGAGACAACCGAATAAGGTAGGACAGAGAGAATATTATTACACATTTTATATGAGTTAAACAATGACGTTACAATATTGAGATATAATGAAATAAAATTCAACGAATTATTAACATAATATAAATACATTATTTATTTATTATGAAGTCAACCGATAGAATTGATGACGAATTTGTTTGTGAGTTTTCGTTTTTGAATTTGAATTTTTGAATAGTAAAAATTGAATAGTAAAAAATTGGTTTGATGTGATATAAACAGAGGTTGATATAATATTTTTAATATAAAATAAATTTATAGTATAATATTAAAAAAATAATAATAATTACTCCCTCCATCAGCCTCCAAGGTCACATTTACATTTTGTATCATTGTACTTAATATTAAAAATATCTCTATATTTGTATTATTTTTTTTATTTTTTTTACAAATGTCATTCTATTAGTATTTATAAGACACTAATGGAAATAATTTTACAATTTTTTCTTAATTTGCTCTACGTTTTGATATAATAATCAATACACAAAAAGTAAATGAGACCTTAGAGCCGGACGGAGGTAGTATTTGATATGCTATTTTTGAAAGAAAAAAAAAATCTTAATAGTAAAAATATGTCGTAAAACCCTCGAAAGAACACAACCAAAGTAATTATTACAAAGTCAGCCACATATAGAGACATATAGAGACAGACAATACATAAATTATGTTAACATAGTCGCAGCAGTCACATGTAACACAATACAACAGTAGATTTCGGCGCAAAAAATATATTAATACAGCAAATCTATATAAGTAAAGAGCTTCACAGAAAAGCTAATCTGCAGAAATTAATCAAAAAGTATCTCCAAACTAAAGAAATTACGACACATTGCTCGACACAGAAGATCCATAACCAGATTAAATATTAGTCCCCCACTAATCCAAGAAATAATTGCATAATTGCAAGCTGTAAAACAATGGATATGCCACTCCATATAATGGAGAATCATTAAGATCAAATTTTGTCAAACTCAGGATCACTTATAATATACAAAAATTTTAGCAAGTGCAGCAGCCCTACATGGTACCACTAATGGTAGCAAAATATAGGTAAGATCCCCTACGAATTCTCGCTATCGATCATTATCCGCAGTAAGCTGAAGAATTAGACAAAGTTCGATACAAATATCATAAATAAAAGCCATCATCATGATTGCATGACACAAACTTTGGAATGAATCCGACAGAAAGGGAAGGGCATCATGCGGGGATTGACCGTGTTCCACATTAAGCCATCATTGTTGCGACAATTTAGACACTAAGACGATTGCAGACTAACCATTATCGAACAAAATACTTACGTGATGAAAAAGAAATGAGTTTCTATATTGTAAAATTGCCCACAGATTTGTAGTATACTAGTTCAAGTGTTTCTTCATATTTTAGCTTCAAGAAAGCATCACCAAGAAAATTATAATAGTCGTGTGTGTTGTTCTTATATCAAACTTGATCGAATTTCTACCATTCATCAATTTTTTTTTTTAAATATTAAATCAAACACCTATTTTTTATTTTCTAAACAAAATTAATTTTACATTCAAAGTATCACATTATACAACTATTCAAATTCAAAATTTTTCCTATTCAAATTCCAAACCAAAATCCAAACTCCCAAATAAACACACCCTATTATATGTTATTTCTACACAATTCCACAAAAAAAATAAAAAAATATTAATATAAAATATAATATATAGACATAAAAATAAAAGACTCCAAGTTTGGGCTTCTATTTTTCAAATTTTTAGAAGCATCACTTAGAAAATTACAATAGTCTTGTGAGTTCACTTAATGCCTTATTTCTACGCAATTCCACAAAAATATTAATAAAAATGTACAATATAAACACATAACAATAAAAGTCTAACAAAAATGCAGAAAACATCATTCTCTATAATATGTTAACGATTCTCCATACCTTGTAATAAAAATACTTAAAACTATAAAAACTAACTAGATATAGACAATTTTCTAGGTTCAACCTACATATTATCTTTCTCTAATCTATCGAATTCAATAATCACATAAGTGGACGATTCCATAAAAATATCAATAAAAATGTACAGAAAACATCATTTTCTATAATACTTTGAAGATTCTTCATACCTCGAAATAAAAATACTTAAAACTATAAAAACTAAATAGACAAAGACAATTTTCTAGGTTCAACCTACATATTATCTTTCTCTAGTCTATTGAATTCAATAATCACTTAAATTGCCGATGCCACAAAAATATCAATAAAAATGTACAGAAAACATCATTCTCTATAATATTTTGATGATTCTTCATACCTCTGCAATAAAAATACTTAAACTATAAAAACTAAATAGATATAGACAACTTTCTAGGTTCAAACTACATATTATCTTTCTCTAGTCCATCGAATTCAATAATCACTGAAATTGACTAAGGGCGCCGAGCAATTTAGTGGAGCACTAATCATATGCTACGACTAATGTGATTCGCAGCTAGGATTCAAACATATAATGTTGTTTATTAGCACAAAATAGAGCAACAATGTGATCAAGCACTGAATTATAAACACTTTCCGCACAAATATTATTCCAAAGTGAGCTTTAGGTATAAAGTTGAACATGAACATCTATGGCTTCCAAAACAACGATCAATACATTAGAATAGCCAACGATACCTGATCATCCAATCTCCGTTCGACAGAACAAGCTAAGAACTGAACAAACTTGTATTAACAATCTGTATCTTCGGCCATAACACTTCATTTAACAAAGATTATCGAAGATCAAGCCACGACTTCAGCTCCATATTTGCATAAACATCACTCAATTAAGTCATCCAATTCGAATCCATAAACCCCATCGTTTTGCAAACTCATGTCGAACACTTGTGAATCCATTTTCATCTCATAATTCTTCCCTTCTAAATCACCTAAATACTTTCTCCTACCGCCTTTAATTCGAACCTTTTCTTTTGCTACACTTGCCAAACTATTTCTACACTCAGGATTATTACCATTCACATTTTCTCCCTTACTTGAGCTGCCATGGCTGGCCCTAGAGTTTCTACGATTCCTCTTTCGTTGCAGATCCATTTTCCCTGCAATTACCGAATCTTCCTCCAAACCAGAAGGCTCAATTGCATCAGGAGTAGCATCAATTGTATCAATTTTCCCGTAAGGCTTGGCGCTATGAACAACGCCTTTGGGGAAAAACCTCATCGACGGCAAGCCATTATCAGGCCGAAACAGCTCGGGGCCGTCGTTTTCAGACCACAAATCGAGTCCGCCCGGCTTTTGAAACCTATCCGCAAGCACCTTCAATTGCTCATCAGCGCTGACGGAGAACAGATTTGGTGGCTTCTCGACGACTTCCCAAGGGCGTTCGAGTTCGGAAACGGCGGCCTTAAGCTCCGCGCGTTTCCTCATTTCGTAAATTTGGCGCTCTCGAGCCAAACGAGCTTTCAGCAGCTGTTTCGCCTTCTTCGCTTGCATTCTCTTCCACTGCCACTTCGAGACACCTCCGGGGTACGTCCGAGGCCCGCCGCCCATCTGAATCGGCATTGATTTGAAACGGATTGAACCAGAAGGAGTGATCGATAGATGCGAGAGTTTTTGGGTTAGGGTAACTGAATCGCCGCAAATCGACATGGATTTCACTGCTGAAAGAGATTGCAGCGGTACAGAGATCGGAATCGACATCGTGAACTCTCTCTGTAAATCGTATGAACTAAACCTTCAATTCGGTAGAAAATTTGCAGTGGAGACGAGATCAGGCATCGATGGCGTGGCGAAGACGACGAACAATGGAAAATCATAATCTCTTGGCGAGAGTTAATTGGGCTTTGATTATTTATAGTATAGGCTTTTTAATTGGGCTTTGATATAATTTCGCTATGGGCTTTTTAATTGGGGATTATTTAAATTGTAATATGGGCTTTATTTATTTTTTACTTCTATGTGATCTAAATTTATTTTAAGTTTTTTTCTTTTTTTTTTTATAATTCAAACTTATTCGTACAAAATATTATTTTTTTCTACTTTTTTATCATAAAAGAAAAAATATATATTTTTAATTATTTTTTTTAAAATTCGTATCGGATCAAATAGACATAATCTTACATAACGAATAAAGTATTATTATTTTACAATGAATTTGATATAAAAAATAAAATTGCAGACAAATAATAGCAGATAATGGAATTTGAGACAAAAGAAATTCAGTAATAAAAATGGATTATTTTGTTTAGTAAAAAGATAATTAAGTTGTTAAATATATATATATCTATATATAAGTTACAACATATAAAAAGAATATACTATATATTGATAGTTAAAAAAAGTAAATCGACCACTAAAAATGATAAATTGGATGAAAAATATATTATTGTATTTTTAAATTAGAGTTTTAATTTGATAATTTATTTTAATAATTAGATATGTTATTTTACAAAATCTTAATAATATAAAAATCATTAAAATTAAATAATAGTAAATAAAATTAACAAATAAACATAAATTAAATGTGAAAAATAAAATAAATAAATAAAAGGTTGACTATGACTTAAAATCCTAAACCCCATAATTTTTGTGGAGAAAAAAAAATACATAGATTTTGTAGACTAAGGGTGTGTTTGTTTGGGGTTTGGATTTTGAGTTGGGATTTGAATAGTAAAAATTTTGAATTTGAATAGTTGTATGATGTGATATAAATAGGGTTTGATGTGATGTTTTGAATGTAAAATTGATTTTTAGTATAATATAAAAAAATAAAAAATAGGTGTTTGATTTGATATTTTTGGGGGGAAAAAATTGGATTAATAGTAAAAATCCACCAAAATCCTTCAAACAAACACACCCGAAATGAATTATGAAAATAAACAAATAATAAATTTGGAGTTTGAGCCCATAAGTTCATGATAATACTAAAGTGTACCATATCTCAAAAGACTCTTACTTTAAAATGGGCTCAACTGTCAACTTAGAGGTAACAAATAATCAAGCTCAAAAAATTAATATTTCCTCCGTCTCAAACACTCTGCAATATTTAATTTTTTTGGGTACATCCCAAACATCTTGTAACATTTTTTTTTACATCCCAAATACTCTGCAATATTTCTAAAATAAGAAATAATTAATTATACTTAATCTTTACTCTACACTTTATCCCCTCACATCATCCAAATAAAAAAATAAAATATATATATTTTTTCATCACATCACCTAATTTTTAAATTATCATACTTAATACTACACACCTAAAAACCCGTGCCAAAAACAAATGTTGCTCCTTGTTTAAAAGGGATGGATTAATAACAATAATAAAGATATTTTTACTTGATAATATATAGATTATTATAATAAAAAAAAAAAAAAAAAAACTTATATTTCCTGAAATTATAAAATATGTATTTACTGAAATAATATTTTTCTGCCATTCAAATTATATTCATTTTTTTTAATTTTTTATAAAAAATATTATCGTTTTTTCTAAAATAAAAAAGTATTAATATTTTATATTTTTTACTATAAAAAAATAACAATTATTACTTATTTTTATTAAATTTATATCCATCAAATCAACATACAATTACAAGTATGGAGTACTTGGTAAAAAATGACCTAAGTGGTGAATTTCTGACCTATAATTGATCGATGCCCACTTGTTACTTTGTATTTATTTTAATTTCTTTAGATAGTAATTATATATTTAGATGTTATATTTTTTATAATAGAGCATAAAATATTTTACATAAAATTGTAAATATTATGAAAATAAATAAATAAAGCCAAAAGAACTATTTAACTGTATTTCATAGACAAATTTCAATAAAAATAATTTACCAATATTTTCAATAATATACAATATTTTATTTCATAATTAAAATAATAAAAAACTACTTAACGCAAACAAGTTTCCACAATGTTTTCATTATTTTCTATAATTAACATAAAATTTTTCCAAAAATTTCAAATAAAATAGCACTCCTCCGTCCCATCATTTATGTCTGTTCCACATGTCATGTCACTTTTTAAAAAAAAAAAAAATTAAATATTTTAATCTAATTTTAAATTTTCTAATTTAATTTTTTAAAAATTTAATTATATTAATTAATTATTTTAATTTTAATCTACAATGATTTATATTATAGGTTAATTATTTTCACTAATACTCCCTCCGTCCCAGGTACCATGTCCACGTTGCCGTTTCTGTCCGTCCCACATACCATGTCACTTTTATTTTTTGGAAAATAATTACACACTTTAATCTCATTTTAAATTTTTTTAATTTTAAGTAAACTAATTAGTTATCTTAATCTTAATTTATAATTATTTATATTATAAAATAATTATTTTCACTGATACATTCTTAACTATCTACTAATTATACATCTCATAAAATACCGTGTCTACAGTGTAACATACGCGGTATATGAGACGGAAGGGAGTATATTTTTAATTAGAATTCCGTTGAAGTGTGGCAAGAAACTTGCCAGCTCTAAAAGATAGTGTGACATCATTAATGTTACGTCGTCGTTTTGATAATAACAACTGAACTTAGGAAATTCATTTCAACTTTTAGGTGTTAGGTGGAGAGCATTAAATACCCAATAATTTTTATTTTTTTTTAATTCCTTCCTATCTATGTATGTCATATTTTAATTTTTATTTTTTTTTTATAATATCAACAATGTTGGATTTAATTTTAAAATATATTGTCATGATTTATTCAAAATAAATTGAATTATGTAAAATATTATCCCTCCTATCGGAATAGTTGATGCATTTGATCATTTTGATTAGTGATACGATATTTAAAAAATAAATATAAATTAATTATAATATATTACAATATTATTTTATTATTTGATGTGCAACTAGCGTTGTTGGTATGCTTGAAATAAATATTAATATATATGAATAAAAAAATTTAGAATATATGTTCAAATATTTTTAAATATTCTATATCTTAAAATATATATATATAATATAGATATTATTTTGTAAAAAAAATAAAATTTTATATAATACAATTAAATAAACAAATATTTTTATTTATTTATAATTAACATAAATAAATAAATTTTTAATAATTCTATATAATTTTAAAAATTTAATTAAATTGATTTATATTTATAAAATATATTTAAAATCGATAAATTTATTAAAATATAAAATAAAATTAAAAACGTTTCAACTATATTAGTACTTTTTAAAACCATAATAATATTAAATTATTAAATACAGTATAATTATTGTTGAATAATACTTTCTCCGTCCATTTACAATGTTTACATATTTTTATTTTAGGACGTCCAATTATAAAGTTAACATTTCGTTAAATACTTTATTTTTTTCCACAAATACCCTTATTTTACATCACATCGACAAAAATGTCATTAAATTACTTTTAACTACTCACTATAATTAAAATACTATTATTTCTTAAATATCGTGCCAAAAATAAATGTAAACTTTATAAGTTGACGGAGGGAGTAAATAATTACACTCGCTAATACAAAATTTATTGAATTAGATATAAAATATCTTAAACTATATGAATTATTTAGACCACATATGATTGTGCTTAGTAGAAAATATTTATATATATATATATAATTAAAAGTATAATGAATAATGATGACGAGGACAGCATGCGGCGATTCTCAGTGGTGCAAAGTAAATATAACCAACCAATCTGCACCTACTCTCTATTATCATTATTATTATTATTATTATTATTATTATTATTATTTAATGGGTTTCTTCAATTTTTTTTAATTGCGATTTTTTTTAAAATAATATTTTATATTTTTTTACACAATTATCTACATTATATATAAAAAAAATTCAAAAAAATAAAAATTAACACTTATTACAAAAAGTCAAATATTCAATAATACGGAATATATTTTTATATTTTTAATACATCTTCCGTCTCATAACAAAGTATCAATTTCTTTTTTTTTTAAGTAATTGTACTATATACCTAACATTACAAATACTCTTACAATTTAAAATATATTACACACAAATACAATTACCTTTATATCACACATATTAAGACCATCTCCAACCCATTCCTTCATTTTTGCAGTAGCTATAGTAAAAATGCAGTTGATCTACAGTAATTTTACTCCAACCATAAACTTCAATTTTTCACTCTAAAAAGTATATTCCATATATATTCTTCTTTTATATTATTTTACATAACTTTTTATATTTATAAATTATACCCCAATTTTATTTTATTTTTACAATATAACCCAAATATATATAATTACACATTATTTTTAAAAAACTATATAATTATATATCATTTTTCGAAAGATAAAATTATATCTCACTTTTAAAAAAATAAAATTATACATTATTTTTAAAAAAATAAAATTATATCACTTTTCAAAAAATAAAAGTATACATAATTTTTCAAAAAAAATATAATTACACAATATATCCCAAAAAATAATAAAAATACACAAATACCACAAAACACCACACAAACTCCACTCCAAAATAATATTTTTTAGTAATTGAACGAACGGAATACAAATTTTCGTACCACATACAAAAAATCAATCTAATAAAAAAACGTTGAGGAAAAAAAACCAATAATTTAAATATGAAATATTGAAGCTTTTTTATATATTATTATTTATTAAGATATGTAAAATAATATTTATAAGATAAAAAATAATATCAAATTTTGATGAGAAAATATAATAATATATTATTTATATTATATAGATGTTTATATATATATATATATTTATTATTATTATGGAAATAATGTGTTAGCAATAATTTATTGGATAAACAATTTAATATATATATATAATAGTTGATAAGATTGATTATTCAAGTGCACAACTGGCCAGGCATTAAGAAAGAAGATTATAAATCATAAAAATAAATATTTAATTTGATAAATATATATATATATATAATTAAAAACAAAAACAAAACATAACAGTATCGAAGCCAATATACATTCAAGCAGACTCTTATTAATTAACTCAATTATTACATGCATCATACAGTCATTTCTATTGTCAACATCTAAATAATTTTATTATATAATGGGATTAAAAAGCAAAGATCATAAGGATAACTACACAAATTAAAATTAATTTATTTGGTTTTGATTTGAATTTAAATTTAAATATTTAATATAATCATTTATTAAATAAAATAATATATTTTTAGGGTGTGTTTGTTATTCATCCCATTTTTTTTCCCAAAAATATCAATCAAATATTTATTTTTTATTTTTTATATTATACTAAAAATCAATTTTGCATTCAAAACATCACATCAACACCTATTTATATTATACTCCCTCCGTCTATTTACAAGGTTTACATTTACTTCAGTGAGTAGTTAAAAGTAGTGTAATGACATTTTTGCCCTTACTTTTTTGTGTAAAAGTAATGATGTGATGTAAAATAAGAGTATTTGTGGAAAAAAATAGGGTATTTAATGAAATATTAACTTTGTAATTGGATATCACATAATATAAATATGTAAACATTGTAAATGGACGGAAAGAGTATCATACAACTATTCAAATTCAAAATCTTTTATATTTAAATTCCAACTTAAAATCCAAACTTCCAAACAAACACATCTTTATTGAAAATCATATTAATTTAATGGTATTAATTTTATTTCTAATGAGAACAAAACAAATCCACGATCTTAAATCATTAAATGACACGTCAGTCATTGGTAATCCTAGCACATTTAGAATTGACATGAAAATTCAAAAAATAAATAGTTTTATTAAAATGTAATAAAAGTATAAAGGTAGGTGAATGTATTTATAGAAATTTAAAAAGAATTGAAAGAATGTAAATAATGTATAATAATGACGGTGATATTTATTATAAATAAATATTAAATTATGGATAATAGTTAAATATTAATATATTAAATTTATCACAATTAGTAATTAGATAAAATTATTGATAAAAAAAAATTAAAAAAAAAGAACAAATCTTACTAACAAAAGAAAAATATAATTAGTATAAAACATACTAAGAATTTTCAAATGTTGTATATATATATGGATTGTTTTCTTTTAAAAAAATTATTCTTTTATTCAAATAATAATTTAAATGTAAAGTTATTTTAAACATAAACAATACTTCTTTCGTTCCAGGATTATAGTCTGAATTGTGTTTGGTACGAGATTAAAGAAATATTGATATTATATTAGTAGTTGATAAAAAATACAGGTAAATTTTTTTTTTGCCATTGTGAGTGTATTAGGGTAAAATGTAGTGGCAATTGTGAAATAATAATGAAAAAGTAATTATAGTTTTATAATGACATGATTATTTATGAAAATGAGACTATTATTTTGAAACGGATAAAAATGGTAAACAAGACTATTGTATTGAGACGGAGGGAGAATAATATAGGCCCATGTATATGGTTTCAATATTTTATGATCTCTTAACTAAGAGTCCATCTTCATAAATCAATATATAATATTATATAGTCCCGTAAGGGATGGTCTGGTGGTGTAGATGTTGGATTTGTGACTTTAGTGTGACTTTTTTGTCGAACCTGGTTTGCAAAGTATTAGGTTCAGTCGGGGTTTACTCAGTGTGCACTTTCGGGTAGCGACTGCAGCCCACGTCATCCAAAAAAAAAATATAGTATTTTTGTCCCACAATAAATATAGTATTATTTTTTATTTTTGTGTGTCTCAAAATAAAGATATTATTTTTTAATTTAGTAATTATATAAACATTATTTATTTTTATATCATAATCTAATAGAGATATTTTTTTATTATTATAAAACAATATAATAATAATATTAAAAAAAATTACGTTAAAAAAAAATAATGTTACTTTTACGGAATGAAGGTAGTATTAACATTATAAACATATGTATAATTTTATAGAATATTAATATTGTACTATATTATATGAATTTTTATTATATGTTATCAGTTTATGCTATGGTTTTATTATACTAGCGTATAATCTTATGTTGAAATCAATTATATTATACTATTATATATTTTAATTAAAATATTATTTTCGTTTATTTCACTTAAAAGTATTAATTTTTTATTATAATAAAAGTAAATATATTAATATTAAAATATTTTTAATTTTTACATAAATTAAAAATATATAATTATTTGTACAATTAATTTATATATGAAATACAATAGGCAAAAATGGTAAAATTATAATAAATATTTTCACTAAATAATAAAATATTGTTTATTTTTTAATTTACTATAAAATCGTACATATCCATTTAGATCGGTACGAAAGGAGTATTATGTAGATTATTAATATGTTTTCATTAAAGATAATATAGAAGTCTAATATTTGTATAGCTGATAAAAATAATTAAGTCGATCCGAAAAATCGATCCGAGCACGACCCAAAAAATAAAGATTGGGTTTCAAAATTATGCCGGAAAAATTTACGGATTAGATTGGCCCGACATTGTTGAAAATCCAAACCTTGTTTGGGCTTGTGCAAATTGCGCCGGGCCATTAACCGGGTTGCGTATGGTTTGGCACGATTTATCAAATAAATTTTGTATTTATATATTTAAATATAAAATTAAATTAAAAAATAATTATATATTTAATATTTAAAATTGTAATAAATAATAAAAATATTGTTTTATTATAATTATATTATTTAAATTAATATAATTTATTTTTATTGTAAGTACACAAAACAAATTTAAAATAAAAGAAAATTAAAAACTAGAATGACCGAACCTGGTTTAAAATCGTGTCATATATGGGATTGAATTTTATTTTATTTTATTATATTTTAATATAATAATTAATATTTAAAAATCATTTTATTGAACTTAATTATGGTTCGGCATTATTATATATATATATACTGTAATTAACGAAGACAAGACAGTCACGAGGGGTGCTGCTGTGATCGACTGTGCCTATAATTAATGCTTGTTTTAATTCGTCGTCACACAGTAGAGGAGGTGACCTAATTAACGTTATTTAAGGTGTGTTTCTTTTGGCGATGTTGAAAAAAATTGGTTTAAATTTGATATTTCATTCGTCTCGAATATTTTGTCCGTTTTTATAAATACATAAATTTAGAAGAATATAATTAATAAATAATTAAAAATGTATTAGTGAAAATAATTATTATATAATAAAAATAATTATAAATTAAAATTAAAATAACTTATTAGTATAATTAAAATTAAAAAAATTATAAATTAAATTTTTTAAAATGTGTATAATTTTTTTTTTTCAAAAAAGAAAAGTGACAAAATAAGTGTGATAGACGAAAATGGAAAGATGGACATGATAAGTAAGATGGAGGGAATATTAAAATAATGTACAATAAAATATTTTGTGAGAGAAAAAAATATTTTTTTTTTTAGAGAAACGCATAATTCAAATAGTAGAAAAGTTAAGTTTTGTGGGAGTCTATTAAGATGCTGCTTAGGGGATTTAAATCCGAATTCTACGGATTCATCCCATATCATCAAACCACTATATATATATATATACTCCCTCCGTTCCAAAAGATTTGTCTTGTTTTTCCATTTTCGTCCGTCTTAAAACAATTGTTTTTGTTTCCTTATTTAGTAGCCGTGGTCCCCACTTTATAATAAAATTATTCTTATTTTTTCATACTATCCATAATTATTACTCTAACGTACTTTTTAAAATTCTTTAAAAAGTAAGGGCATTTTAGTCATTTACATTCTACTTTATACACACTTTCAATTAAATACTATTATTCTTTAATTCCCGTGTCAATTCTCAATAAGACACACTTCTTTTGGGACTGAGGGAGTATATTACATGAAAAATCTGGCGTTACTATTATTTAAGCGCATTGTAATGATACGATAGCAAAATAGAATGTGAGAAAGAAATTGCAAATTATTCAAAAAATTATATTATATTCGTAATTAGAATAGGTGCCTATGTATAAGCAAGATTCAATAAATTCAAATCAAAACAATTAAATCTAAACAATTTAATACTTTAAAGTGTTCAGCTACAGCGGCAGCAGCCTCGTCTCTTAGCAGCAACAACACTATCTCTTTCTCCATATCCAATTGTGATCCCGTTAGTCTCATTACAAACGTCGAAAATTCCATCCTGAATTTTCTTGTAGATGGTCGAGGTTGTCTTTACGAATGCCTTGTCGATATTATGAGCCGTCTTGGCAGAAGCCTCGATGTATATCAATCCATGTTCTTTAGCAAACTGTTCCGCTTCTTCCACGCTGACGACCCTTCTATCGGCCAAATCAGATTTATTTCCTACCAGCATTATGGTCATATACGGACTCGCATCTCTTCTCGCATCTTCCAACCAACTTGTCAAGTCGTCAAAGGTTTTTCTCCTCGTGATGTCAAAAACCAAAAGCGCCGCGGCAGCACCTCTGTAATAAAACCTTGTAATAGACCTGAATAATTCTTGACCAGCCGTGTCCCAAATCAGTAGCTTTATTGGTTTATTGTTGATTGTCACCGTATTACTCCCAAATTCAGCACCAATCGTTAAATCATGCACGGGCTGAAACCGTTTGTCCGTAAATTGCAATAACATACATGATTTTCCGACACCCGTGTCACCGATGATAATGTACTTGAAGAGGTAGGCATAATTAGACATGTTTTCTCTAAATCAAATTTTTCGAAATTAAACTATGCAACTTTTAATTTTTATTTTTTTAGTTTCCGGACAACTTATATACAGGCATCGTTAAAAGATATTTTGATAAATTTAAATTTAAATCTAAATCTATCAAATCAAAAATTAAATATCTAAAATATGTGACAACTATATATGTAAAATACTTTATCCGTCCACAGACTAATATCCTATATTTTTTTTTTAAACACAAATTTTACATTTTTATCTCTCATTCATTGATTACTTTTAATATCGACTATATACACTTAAGGACAAATTTGTTTATTCATAACATAAAGACAATCACCGTCCAAATATACTTTACGATAATAAAAATTGAACGGAGGAAGTAATAAATATATACGTTAGCGGGTATTATTTTATTTATTATATATATTTTAAATTTATAAACTTTAAAAAATAAATGAGAAAAAGAATAGAGAAGACGTGATGATGGTTGTTAAGATATAAGAAAGTGGTTATTATCCATTAGGTATTCGTGGCAGTAAAAGGTTGGGAGGTGAAACCTACGACCCACCCCACCGTACCATCCAAATAATAATAATAAATAAATAAATAATTAATTAATTATTGGTCGACGTGGCGAGTCTCTGTTCGATTTCGGACAGGTTTGTGAGTTGATTCGATGGATGGAACAAATAACGTCGACTGACTAACCGTAACTGAACCATAAAATTATCTCTTTTTTTTTATTATTTATTTAATTGTCATCTATTTTTATTTTTTTAATAAAAATATTATTTTTCTAATTTTTCTTTATAAAGAAATAAATTTTTCTACTTTTTTATTTATTTTTAAAACTCGGACCAATCAAATAAGCAAAAAATTGGACAGAGAAGAAGTAATCAAATGGAACAACAACCCTAACCATATTCTTTTATTGTTTCTTTAGAATAAATAAATAAATAAAATAACTAAATTGTAGGTTGAGATGTGAAAGGAAACATCATCGTCCACCACTCAGATATAGATAAATAATAGAGTTATTGTTATTATTATTATGAGTATCATCTTTATCAAAAGTTAATTTATTTATTTTATCATTTTGCTTCTTTCCAAATTAATTTATTTGTTTTATTTTTTTGTTACTTTCCACATATATATATATATTTTTAAAAAAATCTTATAAACTTATATATTATTACCAAAATATTATACTCCCTTCGTCCCATAACTAAATATCTATTTGCTTTTTACACATAATTTTAAAAATATTAGTATTATATTGAGATGTCGTAGGAATAAAATAAAAATGACTAAAATAACCTTATTAGTATGTGTAATATAAAGATAATAACATTTGTGTAATATATTGTAAGTTGTAAGGGTATTTGTAATGTTAAGTAAATAGTATAGTTACTAAAAAAGAAAATGGATACTTTGTTATGGGAGAGACTAAAATGAAAAAATTGATACTTTGTTATGGTACGAGGAGTAATAATTTTAAATAATTTAAAATATTAAAAAATAGTAAACTTTTTTTTTTAGTAGTACGAAATAGATAAATTTAATAAAATAATTGTATTAGTTATTACTTAAAAGTATTTTTGTATTTTGAATGAATGTATTTTTATGTTAGATATGAAAAATTATATTGATAATATAAAATGTAATATTTTTGAATTAAATTATTAATTTTGTGAATTAATAATATATATATTTATTTTTTAATAAAATTTATGAATAATCGCTGAAAGTTTCTTTTATATTTTAATTGTTGCAAACTTACACTTTAAATATTATATATATATATATATAACCAGATCATGTGAATATTATTTAGTGGGATATTACTTATAATTTTATTATTTTAATTTTTTTTAAAAAAATATCAAATTAAATATTCAATTTTTATTTATTTATTTTATTAAACTAAAATCTAATTTTACATTCAAAATATATTTATATCACATCAAATAACTATTTCAATTCAAAATTTTACTATGTAAAATCGAAACCCAAAAGCAAAATTTCACAAGTAAAGACACCCGTAGATTTGTGTGGCAGTTTAGGCATGAAGACTAAAAAATATTCTTATGTCCCTTAACAATTTATCTATTTTTCATTTTGGTTTGTCCAATGTCCAATAACAAAATATCTATTTTTTTTTAGTAATTGTACTGTATAACTAACATTACAAATACATTTATAATTTACAATATATTGAACAAATGTTTACCTTTATATTACTAATAATATTAGTCTAGTTTTTTACCTTTATTTCTATTACATCAAAATATAATACTAATATTTCTAGAACTATGTGCAAAAAAACAAATGAATAAATAGATATGGAACGAAGGGCGTAATATTTCCTCCGTCCGACTTTAAGGGTGATATTTTTTAAATATTAATTATTATATCAAAAGTAGTACAAATTAAGAAAATATTAAAAAATATATTTATATTAGTATCTTATAATATTAATGTAATGATATTTGTATAAAAAATTATACACATATAAATATATTTTTAGTATTAAATACGATAAATGTAACTTTAGAGATTTAGAGATGGATTGAGGGAGTAGCATTTTATTGTAAAAAATAAGATAGGTAAAATGTGTGTTTGTTTGTGAATTTGGATTTTAATTTGAGATATAAATAGTAAAATATTTTAATTTGAATAGTTGTATAATGCGATATAAATAAGTGTTGATGCAATATTTTGAATATAAAATTTATTTTTAGTATAATATGAAAAATAAAAAATATGTGTTTAATTTGTTATTTTTTTTAAAAAAAAATTAATGAATAATAAAAAATTAATAAAATTTAATTAAAAAACACATTAGTAAAATTTTTATTAATATGTTAACAGAATGGTAATAACATTGTAAATAAATAATTTTTTTATTATAAATAAAAATATATAAATTTAATGAAGTGCGAGAAAATAGTTAGATAAGTTTAATAGATAAAAGTACATCTTTTAGATCGTGCCAAAAATAAAAATTAAATTAAATAAAAGAAGCCCACCTTTATACAGCCTTCTTTTTCTTCATCCTCTTGGGAACATTTCTTTTCTATAATTATTGTCAATATAATAAAAATAAAATACATCATTCACGTGTCTAACCCGCTGCATTATTTCTTTTCTATTTTCCCCCCTTTAAAAAAAAAAAATAATAATAATAGTAATAACAATAAAAACAAAATAATAATAATAATAATTATTATTTCAAAATAATTATTATTCACTTAGAATTTTGTTCCATCTTTGATACTACATATATATATTTTTACATTACCTTTTTTAATAAATTATCAATAATATCTTCTTTTAATTTTTTCCTAGCATATTTTATATTTTTTTCTTAATTTACTAATTAAAATTTTAAAAATATTTCAAATACCATTTTATTTTTCAATAAAATATTATTTTTTTAATGTCGGCACCAATTTCAAATAAGTTAAGGGTATGTTTCTTTTGATAAGTTTGGTAAAATTTTGGTTTGAGTTTAGTATTAAAGTAATGTTTGATAAGATGTTTTGTGAAAAAAAAAAAAAAAACAATATTTTTTTCGAGAAACGCAAAGTCCAAATCGTAAAATTTGAAAATTTTGAAATTATTAAATTTCATTAGTTCTTTGCCCGAACTAAAAAATGCATAAATATTTTGGACAGAGATAATATAATTTTATTTTTTCTAAAAATAAAAATAAAACAATTACCGACTTATTTATTACTATTAATCAATTTTGAGATTTTGCTTTCACCTTTTCTCTTCGATTTCGCCTTTTCTTCTTTCAGAGGTTTCTGTTTGTTTCTGTGAAAAGATTCTCGGCGGTTACGTTTTCTTGACGGTGGGCTTTCTATACATACATACATACATATCTATATCTATATATGTATGTATCAGTGGGGCTCTGCTCTCAATCAAACACACCTCTCTCCTCCATCGCATTCTTACATCGTTAATTTTAGGACAACAAGTTACATAAATTTCCGAATCAATGGAAGAAGGGGGAAAGAACTCGTCTGGTTCTTCACTTGCTTCTGATCTTTTCGGTTCGAAGGATTCCTCCTCTGCACCTTCTTCTTCTTCTGGAATTTTCGGTTCCATTTTTGCCCCTCCTCCTAAGGTAAATTTCAAAATTAAACCCCTCTTTGTTTTACTTTTCCCCCCCTTTATTTGCTGTAATTTGCAATTGGAAGTTTCTAGTTATTTATTCAATTAATTTGATTTCTTACAGGCTTGATTTTGAACTTTGGTTGCTGATGAACAGATTCTGTTTCAGTTTGTTGTAGAATCAGTTGTAATGATTAGATTTGTTTCCTTGTTTTTCCTTAAGTTCCTAAGGTTGACTGAATATAGCTTTTATTGTTTGGTAACGAGTGTTTGTTTAGTATTTGTAGTTTTCGTGAATATGGACATGTGTGAATAATCGCAAAGCTACTTTTATTGTTATATGTATATATTTGATTTTTTTTTTTATAGTATTTTTGGAGAATCTTGTACTAATAAGAACACTAATTGAAGATCTTCTATGTTGTTTTGGTCCAAAAGAATTGAAAGAGCAAAAACTTGTTGCTCAAAGTTCCATTTATTAGCCATTTTCTTACACTTGATTTCATGTTGTCCTAATGAACTTTTTTTGAATTTGATCCCTATTGAATTTGGGATGTTCTTGTGTATGTTCTTGTGTTAATTCACTGGGTGTGTTTACGATTTTGATTAGTAAAATTTTGAATTGAAATAGCTATTTGATGTGATATAAATATATATTGATACGATGTTTTGAATGTAAAAATTGATTTTAGCCGTAACATAATAAATAAAAAATAGATATTTAATTGAGGGAAAAAAAATTAGAATAGTAAAATCGAAAATCAAATTTCACTAGTAAAGACACTCATTGTCTTTGGAACAGGGCTTGGGATCCGAACATTCAACAAAAACCGAGACGAAGAACAACGAGTCGAGGAATCCTTCAATCTCAAGTAGTTTTCGAATGATCTTAAGTATAATTTAGGACTATAGACATGATACAATGATGTCTCAATTCTATGTTTGTTTTTTTTTTTTAGATAAAAATCCTTTACAAAGTGAAGAAGGCCAAAGCCACGCGCCGCCGTATTATCAAGAGGAGCAGAAAGTGCAGCCGTTTCATTACAGCTCTTCGATATACTATGGTGGTCAGGATGTGTATTCTCGGCCGCAAGATCCTCAAAACCCGGGGTTAACTACCGTGAGTGAAATTCTCTTATTTATCCAATCGATTTAAAAAATTTAATTCAATTTGATAGAAATTATGCGCTAACCAGCGCAAATCAGCATAGGTTGTGTGTTTGATTTGATTTTTTGGCGGGAAAAAAATTGAAATGCTAAAATCGTAACTAAAATTTCACAAACAAACACACCCCATAATAGATTTGCCCTAGCCGCCACATAAAAACAGACAGACATCATATGATTTCAATTAACACAACATATGTATAATTAATATGCTAACACTTTATATTTATAGATGTTGTCGTGTTTGTGTGCTGTATGAATAATTTTTATATTATGTCAACATAAATTACGACGTTGGCTGTCATTATATCTATATTGTCAGCACTGTGCTGGATTATAAAATTCGGTACAATAATAATTGCCACCTTTTGATATATATATATATATATATGCATTTGAGAGAATTTATGATTATAATTGTCGAGCCGCAAACTTATTCTCGGACATATGTGTTTGTTGTATTAATTAGTTCAGTAAAGACGGGGGAGAAGACGACGCCGGAAGTGCTTCGAGAGGGAACTGGTGGCAGGGTATGTTCCGATCGCGCTTGTAATAATATTACCATAACAGACACTGAAATATTAATTGTATTTCGACATTTTTATTAATTTTTGTTTTTTTTTGTGGCAGGATCTCTTTACTACTGAGATTTCTTCCCATGAAGAACTTCATCTAGGTACCCGAAGAACTCCTACCACAATTTCATCTATTTATTAGTTTCTTGTATTATATATATATATATATTTAAAATATGCTTTATTTTTGTTGTCTTGCAGGAAGCTATATATACATATATACATATATATATATATTTAAAATATATGTAGGTATGTGTATGTATATTTTATATATGTAGAGCAAGAACAGCTTATATCCATCGTGTCTCTGTATTAAGAGAACAGAGTTAGTAGATACATATACAATGAGAGTTTTATATATATATATATATATATATATACATACATATAATATATGTAGCTTTAAAGTGCTGCCTTTGATCATTTTATTACATATACTCTCTTCTCTACGTCTCATAACTAGATATTCGTTTGTTTTTTATACGGAGTTTTAGAAATATTAGTATTATATTGAAATTTAGTAGAAATAAAGTAGAAATTATTAAAATAATCTTATTAGTATTGTGTAATATAAATGTAACGACAGGTATTTGTAATGTTACTAAAAAAAAAAAATAAATAAATACTTTGTTATGCGACGGACTAAAATGAAAAAATTAATAGCTTGTGACGGGACAGAGTGAGTATAAAGTATACGTGCAATTGATCTCAGCATCTTGTGCATTTTATAACATACAAATGTATAGTATATGTCGTGTAAACTACTTTTACATACTATCCAAACATGTACTACAAATTAATCTAAATTATGGATATTAACAATTTATACAATATATTCTGACACTTGGATAACTGTGGTAATAGTCTATATAATACTCTCTCAATCCTTAAGGTCACATCATGTTGTTTAGTGATTTTTTAATATTAGTATTATAATGAGTTGTAGTGAAAAAGACGAAAATACCTATTAGTATTGTATAATATAGTGTAAGTCGAAAATATATTTATTATGTTAGATAGTGTAGTACAATTATTAAATTAAGAAATGATAATACTGTTTTGGGACGAAAAAAATAGAAAATAGTAACAAGCTTTTAATGGGACAGAGCAAGTATTTGTATAATTTTTTATAAAAATGTCATTTCTATTAATACTATTATAAAACACTGGTCAAAATATTTTTGTATTTTTTAAAAATTTCTATTATATTTTGAGCGAAAAGTAAATAAGACTCTGGTGGACGTAGTAATATATATATTTCCTTCGTCCACTTACAAAATTTACATTTACTTTGGCGTGGTGTTTAAGAAATAATAGTATTTTAATTGTAGTGAGTAGTTAAAAGTAGTGTAATGATATTTTTGCCCTTATTATTATTATTTTTTTAAAAGTAACGATGTGATGTAAAGTAAAGGTATCTGTGGAAAAAAAGTATGATATTTAATAAAATGTTAACTTTGTAATTGGAAGTTTCAAAATAAAAATATGTAAACATTGTGAGTGGACGGAGGGAGTATAATTTTATTGAATTCATACGTTCCCGTATTTATTGTTAGGGTTAGACACCTAACTGCCCTAACCGCCCCCTAGGGATATGAACAGCCACAGGGAAAGGGGGTTTGACTAGGAATCAGAATTCAGGACCACCAGAATTTGAGGATTGCTGTCGGATGGATCTTCATCGCTGCTACTTTTTTTTTTTTTTGGTGGCTTGGAATAATAAATTAACAATACAGTCTGGAATCTGGTGCTTTAATTTTAATTTTAATTTAATTTGCATCCCCTAATTGCTTGGATACTGTAATGAATAATAATGTCTGAATACGACGAAGACGACGACTCTCCCAAATCCCTAACCATAGAAATGTTTGTTGATTTAATTAAATTATCAGTTCGATTGGTCGATTCTGCCAAAGCTGGTGGAGTTTAGTTTTATTTAATCTTCTAACATAGTGAAGAAATGGCCAAATGTCATTCTGAAGCCAAATGCTCCGCCGCCGTTCCGTTCTTCTCGGCGCCGGCGACAGATTCCGGCGAAAAAAAAGAATAGAAATATTCGCCGTTGCCGGGGATCGAACCCGGGTCACCCGCGTGACAGGCGGGAATACTCACCACTATACTACAACGACTTGTTGATAAGACGTTAAGCTCAATTATATATAGAGTTTTAGTATTTCTCGAAATGTATATATTTACAATTTTTTGATGGGGAGTTTAATAAATATCAGGTTTTTAATACTCTCTCCGTACCAGATACCGTGTCTGCTACATGTAGACGTGGTATTTTAAGAGGGATGTAATTAGTATATAATTAAGAATGTATTAATGAAAATAATTATCCTATAATATAAATAATTATAAATTAATATCAAGATAATTAATTAGTTTAATTAAAATAAAATAAATAAATAAAATTTAAAAATTTAAAATGAGATTAAAGTGTGTAATTATTTTTCAGAAAAGAAAAGTGACATGGACAAAAACGGCAACGTGGGCATAGTATCTGAGACGGATGGAGTAATTGTTATTAGTAGTTTGGTATGTAAATAATATGTTGCTCTTGTTGTGTAAGTTAATATATATTTATATTTGAAGATACTTTTATTTTTACAGTAGGGGAGCAATTTTTTTTGTGTGATTCTTAGACTTACTTTTTTTTGACATGATACAAAGATTTAGCAAAAGCTAACAATTTAAGATAAAAAATAAAAATTATGTTATATAATATACTCCCTTAATTAGAGATGTCAAATGGGGCGGGTTATCCCTGGATCCGCTCAGACCCGCTCTTAATGGGGCGGATTCGGGTCTAAATAATATATTTCGGGGCAGGTTGTGGATTTAAAATTTTAAATTCGGCCGGGTTCGGAGCGGGTTACGGGTTTTATTAAAAACTAGCCCCAACCTGGACCCGGACCCGAAACCAGATATTTTTTAAAATTATTATAACTAATATATATGTACATTTATATAATAAAAATATATTATTTATTTATTTAAATAATTTTAAATATAAAATTCAATTAGTCGTCTGCTCCAAATAATTTTTTATAATTATTATACCTAATATATATATATTTATATAATAAAAATATATTATTTATTTATTTATCTTATTTTTATGGATCAATATTTGATTGTTTTTAGATTTTTTTTTTTTTACTTTTAATGCTATTTGTTTTAGTATTCGATTGTTAAAAAAATATTTATTATTATATATATTTTAAAAAAAACGGGTTTGCCGGGTTGGCCCCAAACCCTCCGGGTTCGGGGCGGGGCGGGTCTCGGAGCCTAATATTTTCTAGCGGGGCGGGTCTCGGGGCCTGAAGAATCCGTCCCGAATGCGTTTATAACAAAGTATCCATTTCACAAATATCATGTTATTGGTGGGTGTTTGTTTGTGAGTTTTGATTTTGGTTTTGATTTTAATCTTAAAGTTTTGAATTAGTATTAATATGTTATTTTGAATTTAAAATTGAATTTTAATATAATATAATAAATAAAAATAATATTTTGATTTGATTTTTTGAAAAAATAAAAATAAATAATAAAACTAAAATAAAAATCTCAAAAACAGACACGCCCTTATTATTATACGAAAAAAAATAAAATTAATATTTAAATACAAAAACAAAAAATTACTACTTACCATATAATATCACTACTACTAATAACAACAACAACAACGTTATAAAAAAATAAAATAATAATAATAATACTATTTACTGAACAGTTCATAAATGAAATACAAGCAAAATTTCAGGTAGTAATAATAATGGTTGTTATAGATTGGTATTCAAATAACCTCCTGTGAAAATTCTTCCCACACCAAATCTGCTAAGGTTAATTCTTCTACCTTCACCATCATTTGAGCTTGAGCTTGAACTTGCAGGGTGGATCATCAATGGCGAAGAACACCAAAAGTTAGGACACGATGAACTCATCTTACCCCCATGAGTTATTGTTCCGATTTTCGATATCGACACGACCTGATCCGAATGCTTCGACAAGTTATGCACCGAAACTACGTCGTCAATGCGCGCAACAATGTTGAACGCCATGCTCTTGACGACTCTCGAGTAACTCTCCAAGATAGACTTTCCGACATCCTACAAAAAAAAAAAAAAAAAAAAAAAAAACATACACAATGGGGACACGAATGTAAGCGCAAATTAAAGATCGAATCAAAAACCGGGATTGAAGTTTTATCGAACCTTATTGAATTGGATTTTAGCCATGTCTAAGGTTGTCAGAGGCAATCCAGGGAATCGATGTCTTAAGTTAAGGAGAAGGGACTCTGCTCGGCTTGCAAGAAGGTCCCTTTTGTCGGCATCGATTACAAAATCTTTGACTAATTCCCACGACGACTTTGAGGTGGATCTTTGCGTGGTGTGTGGATGTTTCGGATTCGTTTTCTGGCGCCACACGTGAATGGCTGCTTCGATTTTATTGGCAATCTCGATGGCGTGATGCTCGGAGGATAAGTCGAGGGAACAAAGCGCGCATTCGGGCGAAAAATTGTTCGAAGTTAGTTGATGATAGATTGCGTCTCCCACAGTTGCTTTTCCATTCTGCAAAAACAATAGTAACAATCAAATAAATTAAGATGTGAAATGATTATTTAACATGATATCAAATTAGGAGATTTCGCCATGTTGTCACGGAAGGAGTCTCGATCCGACAGTTTATTTTTATCTAGAACTTTCTATTGTGCACTAGAATTCACTCAAACTTTTTAACTTTTTAGAAAATTCTAGGTCGAATAATTGGACCCCATGGATTCTTGTAGATAGTTGTACATATAGATTAGAAGATTGTAGATTCATTCATCAATAAAATCCCTTCACTTGTAATTAACTATTGTGGTCTTTTGTAAATTTTAATGCTGGTTTTTATTATTTAGATTTTTTTTTTCTCTCCAAAAATATCAAATTAAATAATTACTTTTTTTTTTTTATATTATACTACAAATTTATTTTACCTTCGAAACGTCCCATCAAACAACTATTCAAATTCACTCTTTACTATTCAAAAATCCAAATCCAAGAGCCAAAACTCACAAACAAATACATTAAAGTTTTCATTTGCAATGCAATCTTTCAAATTCTCTCCGATACTTTCTCTCTCTAAAAAGTCCTTAGCCTTTTGCGGGTGTCTACTCAAGTCGAAAAGCTTGCCTAAATAGCCGATAGAGTAAGTTGCTAACGGGAGTACGGTTAACTCGACGGATTGAAGTTAGCCAATGACAACGTTCATATGAGATGAACGTGAGGAGGTATTTTTATACTAACTTAAATATTTAGGTAAAATAGTCATTTAAAGAGTAAATAACGACCTCTCTTGAAAATGGAAATGGATGATAAGGTTGATACCTTTGGGAGAGCTTGTAGATATGAATCGGGTACTGCCATTTCAGCTAGAACAATACGGTTGATCGCCATTGCAGCTTTGAGGATTTGGCTCGTGCAATCGCGCTTGTCATCCAACCTTTTTCGCTCGTCTTGTCCGAGGCCACCAGGTGGAACACGAGGAACGGGAAGCCACCATTTGTCTTCTTGACCTGTAAGGGGCTTGTGGAAGGAGGATGATCCATCAGAATCAACAGCCGATGATATTCCTTGATCGACATACCAAAACTCTGAATTTTTGAAGCTGTTAAGTATCTCCTACAAGAACGAGGCAAAACCAGAATTATTATTACAAATGTATCGAGGAATCCACGCTGACTAGTCTTGTTTCTTACGAGTAGCATGTTGTCTAGTTTGCGCAATGCAGGAAGGTTAACGTATAGATCTGATCGCGGCCTCGAAGTCATGACCTGAATCAAGAACAAGATGTTAAGCCGTGACAAAATTTAAATTCAAATTCAAAATCTACGCACAAACCATAAACATTTGCATATATTTGCCGAAAATGATGGAGCTAGTCATGAGGGTGAAACCATATTCACCTCAAGTTTGCTTCCATCAGGAAATGTCTGAAAATCGGGTACGAGTTCCACAATGTGATCGCTAACGCAGAGAAGCCATTGCATCTCTTTTTGCCACATTTCGCGCTTCTCAGACGATATAGGCTCCAATCTCCAAACTCGACCAAATATTGTAGCTAGTATAATTGAAAGGACTAAAAGATCAACAACCGTAGAACATCCAGACATACAAAAGTAACCAATGCACAGTTTATATATAACCACAAGGAACTAAATTACCGCAGAGATTAGTTATAGCATTCGATATGGCCAATGCAGGACAAAATCCCTGGCCAAAACCAGACATGTCTTCACCAAGTAGCAACTTTGAGAATAGTTTTTTCATCATCTCAGTTTCTGCAATAGTCGAATCCGAAAAAATGAATTAATCACAAGCAAGTTTTGAAGCAGTGATCAAAGATGGGATAGAAGAAAAATCACCTGAAAGTGATGAACCTTGTTTCTCTAATTGCCTTTTGTCCAATTTGGGCTTATCCATTTCCTCAGGAACTCTGAAAGTAACTGAAGAGGGAGAAGATGAATCCTCAGAGCTACTATGATCATAATTCTGCAGAGCCAAAAACTCAGAATTCAAACTTGAACTAATTTCCCCACTTTCTTCTTCGTTGGAATCCCCAAATTTGGCAACTTTTGATCCATTCTCACATATCCCCTCTGTTTCCTCTATTTCATTTTCGATCACCAAAGCCTCCATTTCAATTTGGAGACAATTGGGAGAAGCAGAATAGATAGAGTTATTAACTACCATTCCATCAAAGTGAAACCTCTTACTGCAAATCCTATTCTGGAACAACCCACCTCTATTTTTCAAGAATTTGGCTGATTTTGAGACCCAAAATGACAATGCAGAAGAGGATTTCGAATTTGATTGCTTCAAATAAAATGAAGTCTGAAGCTCAGGTTGGTTCATGACAACGACCTCCCTTGCCTCTCCGGCTGAAAAACCTCTTTCCATAGGGCCCCAGCTTTGGCTTCAACCATTTTTGGCTCTTCAAAGAGTTGAAGTTAAAAAACAGAAATCAGATAAAAATGGTAATAATTGTCAGCTATGGAGTGTAAGAATGCTTGAGAGTGATAATTGAAGGATTTATGAACAGTCATTTAATTAGTGAGGAAACAAAACAGCCGTGAAAATCATATCACGCATAATTATTACAGATCCCTGTTTGAATTAAGTGCTTATTGAGTATTTCTACACTCTCATCACTTATAAAATATAGAAAAGCTGTGGAATGGAATTGTTTCTCTAACTTTCAAAAGTATTTCTTCACTTATTGAGGATTTACTGTCTTCTGTTAAATCTTGTAACCAAGAATTCAAAAGTATTACAGCTATTCATGATTCTAATTCATTCCAATTTACATACAAACATAGTGCTAGTAATCAATGCTATCACAGTTTTCTCGAGGAAGAAACATTGTGTTCATATGATATCCATGAATTGAAATCAAAGATTTGTACACCCAATCGGATTTCAAATCTTGCCTTTTAAGTTACCAATTAGCCCTAATGGTGCTGGTAGTTCTAATAAGAAATTGCTATACCCAACCACCTCCACCATGTTCGTTGGAATTCACTGAGATCGTATATTACTCATCAGATTTATTTTAATTTTTAACTTGATGATTGTTAAAAAAAAAAAAAATGAAAATTCTACTAGGATCAATAAAACTTACTGACTGTCCACGGTCCACCGAATTCGCCATATCCAACCAGTAACTACCAGCAAGTCCTGCTTCAAATCATGAAAAATTTCACCATAAGCTTCACGCAGTTTTCGCCGGCGCCGGCGCTGCCGGTGCTCAAAACTTGATCTGATTATTGTCGCGATATCTATCGATCAACAGTAGTCAAAATTTCCATTCAATTATACTTTCATAGAAATGCATTTACGATACCTCTTTCCGCCTCGATGAGGATTCCGATTCCGATTCCGATTTCCATAGCCGCCCCCACGAATTCCCTGCCTTTCTCCGTCGTGTTCTTCGCTACTGCCATTCAATCCTCCGTCGGCAAAATTCAGAGCGGGAACGGCTTGACACGTGTCGAGCTGTAAGTAGCCAAACTGAACCAGGCCTCGTCCGGTAAATATTTTGGGCCTAATTCAATTTTTCTAATGGTCCCCTAATTAGACCATATTATAAATTCGGCCCGGTTGTTTCAAATTGACCCAAAGTAATATTTGCAATTTACAATATATGCACGTCCGCTATGCCTGTTTTTCATTTCTATTTATCGATAAATATAAATATATGTGTATTTTTTTTATTTATATATAAATAATTATTATTTATAAATATGCTACTACTATTTACACATTTAATTTATAAAAAAAAATTCTCACATTATTAACTTACTCATATATTTTTCAAAATACTTTTACCTTATATCACAATTAATTAATATAATAATATATTTATTAAAACTCATGTTCAATCCAAACGAACAAATATCTGGTGAATGAGAGTTTCTGTAATATAAGTAGCTCATACTTTTCTTTTATAAACATACCTAATCTTTTCATATAAAATAGTGTACTCCTTCCGTCCCATAATTAGATATTATATTTATTTGTTTTTTACACATAATTTTAAAAATATTAGTATTATATTAGGATGTAGTAAGAATAAAGTAGAAATTACTAAAATAATCTTATTAATATGTGTGATATAAATGTAATGATATTTATATAATATATTATAAGTTGTAAGGGTATTTGTAATGTTAGATAAATAGTACAATTACTAAAAAAATATTTTTTTTATGCGACGAACTAAAATAGAAAAATAGATATTTTATTATGGGACATAAAGTATTCAAAATAAAAATAAAATAAAATAAAAAATACAACAAATATGTTTCATTTTACAATATAACTATTCACGAGACAATACAATTATAAAACATGATGGCTTCATTTGCTTGAGGTTTGAACTTAGGTTTTTTTTATTTAAGTTTTAATATAATTAATATTATAATATGATATTTTATAAATTTTTAATTAAATGGATTGCCAAATATATGAATGAATTATGATTAAAGTACAATTTTGTATAAAACGAAATTTAAAAAAAATAAAATAAAGAAAAATAATACTAATATTAATTGGTTGGCGGGTGCAAAGAGGGACAGTTCCCCAACACTTCTAAACCTAAACTAATAAATTTGGATCCATCAAATATTTTAAGGTTGTGTTTGTTTGGGGATTGGATTTTAATCCCATTATTCATCTAATTTTTTCTCCCCAAAAAATCAAATTAAACACCTATTTTTTATTTTTTTATATTATACTAAAAATTAATTTTACATTCAAAACATCACATCAACGCCTCTTTATATCACATCATACAACTATTCAAATTCAAAATTTTTACTATTCAAATCTCAACTCAAAATCCAAACTCCCAAACAAACACACCCTTAAGTATACAAATCAAACAATACAAATATGTTCTTGGATGCTAATAAAGACATGATAAATAAGGTTACATTAAGGTGCGTTTATCAATTAGTTGATAGTTTTTCACTGTTAGCTGAATAAATTAACTTGTTTAACTAGTTGATTTAATTAGCGGTTTGTATTCAAGTGTTTGGTAAAATAGGTGTTTGATATTAACTATTTATACATAAAATGACTATTAAGGACATTGATATGTTATTTTTAAAATATTTAATTTTGTTCATTTTAATTTGAAATTTATGAGAATTTTTGTTATTAATTATTAAAAATTATAAAAATATTATAAAATATTTATTTTTTATTATTTAGATTTGAGAAAAAAATTTATTAAAATTATGTAAAATATAAAATAATAAATCTTGCGTATATATATTTTAGTTCTTAAAAAATTAGCTTTTTGGGTAAATTAGATTTTAAGAAATTAGTTTTTTTAGGTCCAAAAAACTATTTCAAAAAACTAATTTACCAAATACCTAAATTAGTTTTTTGACCGATCAAACGGCTAAAAGTTGTTCAATAAGCTAAAAAACTCTCTAACAAGCTATTTCTCAAACACCCTCTAAATATTTTTTTGTAATTTTAAATATTATTTAATATTTAGCTTTTATTTAAATATATATAAATCATCTAGAGGATAGATACAGAATAATATAAAATTGATAAGTGGGTATTCATTGAACTGTAACTTTGGTTACATTGAATTTGTAATAGAAACTGTTCATGTCTACTCGATCTACAATTTATATGTATTAACACAAATTTATAAATAGTTTTTTTAAAATAAAAAAAATAAAAAAAAAAATAAAATAAAATAAATCCCTTATACAGTGATTATAATTTTAAATTTGTATTATCTGATCAATATACATTTTAAATTATAATTTGAGATATTTTTTTAAAAATATATTTTGTACAGAAGTAAACTGTTTATTTTTTGTTTTGTAACTGAACTTTTTTATTATTTAAATTCTGTAACTAAAAATTGTTTTGAAATAGTCTTGAATGCTTACGTGGCACTTCCGTGGCATGTTGGCGGACACACGTAGGCCAAGTCATCGCCACGTGGCAGACACATTTTAAAATTTGATTTTATTTTAAAAAATAAAAATTAACAAAATTAATAAGAATAAGTTTTACAAATATTTTATATTTGTAAAATACAATCAATTTATATTACTTCTTAATTTATTTTAGAATTTTATTTTGATTTCATACTTAGTTTAGATATAATTTTAAAAAAAGAAAAATTGAATTTTTCAAGGAAATTGAAAGGTTAAACATTAATATCATGCTTTGTAAAATAAAATTAAATACATTTGGAATGATGTATTTATCCTTTTCAAAATACATTGTATATAAATAAAATCCCAACATAAATCCTGTCAATAATAATTGACTATATATATATATATGTATATATATTTATAAAAATAAGTACTCCCTCCGTCCCATGTAATATGGGTGTATTACTGTAGACACAAGAATTAAGTAAAGTATAATTAGTTAGTAATTAAGAAGTATATTAGTAAAAATAATTATAAATTAAGATTAAGATAAGTAAATAGTTTAATTAAAATTAAAAAAATTATAAAATTTAAAATGCGATTAAAGTGCATAATTATATTTCCAAAAATAGAAGGACAAATTATGTGGGATAGACGAAAATAGAAAATAGAGACAAATTATGTGGGATTGAAGGAGTAATATTGTCCACTATAAATGTATCTAGAGTTGTCTACAATCAATGTCAAATTTCTAATTTAGTAAATATGATTTTAATATATTACTCATTCCGTTCTAATATACTAATTTTGTTTATTACTTTTGTCCGTCTAAAAACAATAGTATTATTTTCATAAATAATTATATTACCATTAAATTATTTCTACTTTTTCATTATTATTATACAATTGTCACTACTTTTTACACTAATATACTCACAAGAGTAAAAAAGTCATTTATTATTTTTTTTACCGATTATTAATATAATATTAATATTTTTTAAATTTCATATCCAATACAATAAGACTATCCTTTGGACGGATGGAGTTCTTTCTTTAATTGTATTCCTTCTTTTGTAAATCTACAGAGAAAATAAGTTGAAGTTGATGGACAAAATGAATAATAAAATATGTATAGATTTAACTTAAAATTACAATTTTAGAATTCATTATCAACTGTGTTTTTTAAAAATATTTTAATCAATACAGTATTCTTGCACAATATATTTAAATATTAACACACAAAAAATAAATGAGATCTTCAGAGGCGGACGAATGAAGTATATTTCTCCATCCGTCTCACCTTTTATGTCCAATTTTTTATAGATATGATAATTTATATAAAGTATAATTAATAAATTATTAAAAAATATATCGATAAAAAATAATTGTATATTAAAATTAAGATAATTATTAATTTAATTAAAAAATTATTAATTAAAAATTTTAAAATATATTTAAATATATAATTATTTTTCTTAGAAAAATAAATGACAAATATAGTGAAATGGACTGAAAAAATAACAAAAATAGAAATAATTGACAAATAATATAAAACAGAAAGAGGTGTGTTTGTTTTGTAAAATTATTATAATATAATTTTTTTATATGAAGTATAGAAAATTGTATAAAAAATATAAAATTAGTGAATATAGGTAGTGTATTAATTTTGGGGGAAAAACTTGTAGAAAGGAAATAAATAATATAAAAAAAAGCCTAATATTTTTTAAATATGCACAAATAAATAAAAAAATAAAAACGAAAGTGTATTCCGGACAAATGAATGCAGAAACATTGAACACAAAAATAGAGAGGCAGATCTAACGCAAATGGATACATTCCCATGTGCAATTTTGTCCCATTACTACACGACACCTAACCTATCCATAAATTTATTTAATTTAATTTAATAATCTAAATTTCATATTTCTATATACATTATTAACGTGCGATGGACTACGTACAACATGCTCTGCACGGCCGGCAGGTACAACCACTCACTGCTTTATACCCATCAATTCTATTCAATTCATACAGTCATGTGCCAGATTTAACACTAATAATAAATTTTTCAAAAATATATTTTTTATTATTTTAATAATTCAAAATTTGAAGACTAAAAAAAAATAATATCTAAACAATATCATATACTATAACATGGTACCAATCAATCTTCAATATATTAAATAAAACACATGATGGGATGTTTATTTTAATATAAATGGTCCCATTGATATGACGCTTAAATTTCATTACGATCCCTTATTTATTAGATATTTCTAAATCTGGCAACTAGTGGATTATTTAATTTGTGGGCCAG